CAGAAACACCATGTTCTCCCCGCCAGAGCAATTTACAACAGAAAATTGTCTCCCGCGCCACAAACCTTCATTTGCGTCGCTCTTGTTTCTCGCTGCCTGGGAAACAACGGAGGTTAACCATTGCATGGGGGGGGGTCCCTGACTTACAATGACTCATTTAGTGACCGAAGTTACAAGGGCCCTGAAAAAAAACGTGACTTAGGAACAATTTCCCCCCGTGGGACCCTTTCAGCCTCCCCTCCCCCCCCAGGGTCATGCCCTCCAACCTCAGATGCTTGGCCATTGACTCGTATTTACGACGGTCGCCTTGTCCCTGGTCACGTGATTCCCCTTTCTGAGACCTTCTGACCAGCAAAGTCAACGGGGGAACCCGGATTCACTTAACAGCATTATTCCCCACTTAGTCACGGCGGTGATTCACTTAACAACAGTGGCCTGAAAGGTCATAAAATGGGGCAACTCGCTTAACAATGGTCTCTTACTTAGAGAGGGGGGGGAGGGAGAGGGAGGAGAGAGGGAGGAGAGAGAGTGAGAAAGAAGGGAGAGAAAGAGTAAGAAAGAGAGAAGGAAAGAGAGAGAGAGAGAAAGCAAGACAGAGAGAAAGAGAGAGAGAAAGAGTAAGAAAGAGTAAGAAAGAGAGAAAGAGAGAGAGGAGAGAGGAAGAAAGAGTGAGAAAGAAGAGAAAGGGAGAGAAATAGTAAGAAAGAGAGAAGGAAAGAGAGAAAAATCAAAAGAAAGGAGAGAGAAAGAATAAGAAAGAGCGAAAAAGAAAGAAGAGAGCGTGAGAAAGAAGAAAAAGGGAGAGAAAGTAAAAAAGAGAGAGAAGGAAAGAGAGAGCAAGACAAAGAAAGAGAAGAGAGAAAGGGAGAGTGAGAAAGGAGAGAAAGAGTAAGGAAGAGAAAGGAGAGAGAGAAAGATGGAGAGAGAAAGGGAAAGGGAGAAAGATTAAGAGTAAGAAAGAGAGAAGGAGAGAGAGGAGAGAGAAAGAGTAAGAAAGAGAAGGAAAGAGAGAGCAAGACAAAGAAAGAGGGAAAGAGGAGAGAGAGAGTGAGAAAGGAGAGAAAGGGAGAGAAGAGTAAGAAAGAGAGAAGGAAAGAGAGAAATCAAAAGAAAGGAGAGAGAAAGAGTAAGTAAGAAAGAGAGAGAGGAGAAAGAAGAGAGCATGAGAAAGAAGAAAAAAGGAGAGAAAGAGTAAGAAAGAGAGAAGGAAAGAGAGAGAAAGACAAAAAAAGAGAGAAAGAGAGTGAGAAAGGAGAGAAAGGGAGAGAAAGAGTAAGAAAGAGAAAGATGGAGAGAGAAAGGGAAAGAGAGAAAGAGAGGTGGGGGGGGACCCTCCCTTGTAAAAGAGCCGTGCTTTCATCCAAAGCCAGGGAATTTCAAGTTGAAAATGAAAGGGAAAATAGAAAGTTTCCTGATTGAAGAGAGTCCCAACTCGTCCCAGGAGACGTGGAGGGGCCTCCCTCTCAGTCCCTTTTGTGTTGTTGTGGCTCTAGGCTCAGCTCCGGGAACACACAAATTGCCTCGTGAGTCTTGCAAAACGAGGAGTGCTGTGTTGCCTAGACAACTGCAAACTCCCCCCACGCGCCTCCGATGTGCCTGAGCGCATCACTCACGTGTCTCTGCACCCCCTCGGACACCGACACCAACCAGGACCTGGCTCACAACAGCTTCTGTGGAGGACCCTCAATTGGGACCGTCTCCATTGGACGGGGCAGTCCGAGTGGGGAGGGGGGGGCTCATCTCCAATTGCCTGACCCGGATGGCAGGAGGGGGGGGGGCTTTTGCCAGTTGAACAGGGGGCTGAGCAGCCCCGATTTTGCAAATGGGGGACAGAGGCCACCCCAGGATGGGCCAGAAACCTGCAAGGAGATCAGCAGATAAAACTCTCCCGCATTCAGATCAGAGGCTCAAATCAGAAACTCCAGATGACCCAGACAATTTGGTTTGAATCAATGGGACAGTTGGCCTCCCACCTACCTATCATCCATCCATCCATATCTATCTATCTATCTATCTATCTATCTATCTATCTATCTATCGATCGATCGATCGATCGATCGATCTATCTATCTATCTATCTATCTATCTATCTATCTATCTTATCTGTCTGTCTGTCTGTCTA